TTCTCCGGGCCACTCCAGTCTAGTCTCGGCAAGCGCCGAGCCAGGTCGGCCGAGATTCGCGCAGCCTAGAAGCGGGGGGCGGATGAGCAGGCGGCCGGCGCGGCCGCCGAGATCAAAACGCCGACGCGCCGCAGGCGTCCGTCGCTGCGCCCGTCGCGCCGCGCGCCGTCGACGCGCCGCTGGAGGCCGACGATAGGGAGGAGGAGGAGGAGGAGGAGGAGGAGGAGGAGGAGGAGGAGGACAAGGGGAGGAGGAGGAGGAGGAGGAGGAGGAGGAGGAGGAGGAGGAGGAGGAGGAGGCGACGATGGAGAAGAAACTCGCTGGGGAGGCTTCGGAGGTGCCGGACGGAGCGCGCCGTGCGGCGGCTAATAGCCGGTCTCCGGGGCAAGGGGCGCGCGCCTGTGGACTCGGGCAGGCCGTGCTGTGATGGTGGCCGAGGGGCCGGCTCGCCTCTCCTGCCTTGCCCCCCTGTCGTCGGATACTCCAGATTTCGTAATAAAAGGGAGGGGGTCTGGACCCTCCAAGACAAGCCATTTCAGACCCCCCCCCCGTGGGAGAACCCTCCAAGACATCGTCCCCAGACCCCCCCAGGCCCTCCAAGATGGCCTGGAAGAGACCCCCCCCCCCGAAATGAGACCCCCTCCCTTTTATTACGAAATCTGGAGTATTCGTCAGCGGTGCGTGGGAGATCTCTGCGTCTCGGGCCCAGCGGCTCGCGAGCTGCGTCGCGGGCAGGCCGCCGACGCTAGTATTGCTCTACAGACCCACCCCCCTTCCGACCTCCATGCGCCCATGCGTGATTGGCGCAAGCTGGTGCGCACTGGGGTCTCATCTTCGTACCCCGAAGGGTCGAAGGATCGACGCGGCGGGATCACCGCGGGGGTTCTCGAGCGATTCAAGGTAATGCGCTCGCTCAGCCATCTCGTCACTTTTCCGCGCGACCACGCAGGGCTCCGCGACCTTGACCAGGATGGAGAGTTGCCGGGCATTGTGTTCCGAGGCATGGTTGACATTCAGCTTCGCGCCCAGGGCCAGTCGCCGCGCATTGTCGCAACCCGCGTGACCTCCCGGTCCGGGGCTCGAGCGCATCTGGCAGAGTTGCCCAAGCAGAACAGCGCAACTGCATGGGTCGACATGGCTCTAGTTCGCGTTGTGTTCCCGTCGGACACCAGCTGCGCCTGCATCTCGGCAGCGGCCGAATGCCCGACTACATGGCCATTTAGTCTAGGGCCCCGCATCTCACCCGAACGATGGAGGCGGACATTGATGCGATTGGCGAGGCGGGCAAGACCCACCTACGGACTGAGGCGGGAGGTGAGCTTCTCGAGCGGAGTGCGTTCGCGGCTGGGCCGTGCGCAGTCCGAAAGCGCTGGCCCGTCCACTTGGGTATGAGGAGCAACCAGATCTTGAGAACAATCGGTCGAAGGCGAAGGCAATGGCGGCTGCGCTATCGCCGAGTCCAGTTGGATTTTGATCATCGGTTACCTTCCCACGATGATGGAGGCGCGCCCACGGCGGCTGCGATTCCCGCGCTTGCCCTGGCCTGATCAGCCCCCCCGGGGCACCAGCTGCCCGGGGCGCTTTGGGGGGGGGGGCAGGCTTGTCAGCGACGGGGACGGGGGCGGCTCGTCTTCGCCAGCGGCGTGAACGACCGTGGCGGCGAGGGGGGGGGCGGATCGTCTGCTTCGGCGGCGCGCGCGACTGCGCCGACCTCGACCTTCTGAGCCCCCAGCAGCCCGAGGCGCTCAGGGGGAGGGCGGGGGGCGGGGGGGGGCCGCGATGGGCAGAGCCGGCCGCGTTGCCGCGGCGCCGCTGCATTCGCGCTGCGAGCTTCTCGCCTGGTGGGCAGGGGTGGGAGCAGACTGTCGACGTCGGCGGCGCGGCCTCCGTCGGCGGCAAGACATGGAGGGGATGCGATGCCGCGGGGCGGAGCGGTTCCGCCGAGAGCTACTCGCACGGCGTGGGGCACCAAGAGAAAAAGCTAGCAATCTTGCCCCCCCCCCCGCGCGCTTCAGCGCGCGGATGCGGAGGCGATGGGGCGCCGATCTGGCGCCGGAGGGGGCGGGGGGGATCCCGAGGCGGATGCGCCGAGTGAAGCAGAGCCGCCTCTCGCTGCTTGCGCGCAGGATGATGTTGACACGCGAGCCTGGATCCAGCAGGAGTGGCGTGAGGGGGCTAAGTAAGGGCTATGGCGATCACTTGCAGAGGGCCGCCAGCGTGCCCAGCAGCTGCCCGTTTTCATCCAGCAGCCGCTTGCTTGTAGAGTCAGCCCTTGCGGTCGGCCTGCTTGGCGGACCTTTTGTTTGCGTGCTGGGGGTCTCCAATGGAGCCATTGCGCGTGTACTTCGCTGCCTTCTCCCCGAAGAAAGGCCGCGCTTTCGAGGGGGGCGCGCGTGCGAACCCCAGGTCTGCAGCGGGCAGGCGAAAGGGGCCAAGTCTTGGGCCACTTGCGCCCCCCAGCGGTCTACTGATTCAATTGTTCGGCATGAGATCGTGTGCCTTCAAGCGGCAGACTGGGGGGGGGATCGCCGAGGGCTGGGCATTTGTGCGCCCGCTTGTCGGATCTGGCGGGCTCCATGCCGCAGTCCCAGACCGCCCCCCCCCCCCCATTCGCAGGCGCAATCGATGGGCCAGTCAAGGCCATGCGTGGCGCACCGCAGGAGTCGGCTGGTAAGTTTTCAGAGCATGATCTGAAGCCCCCGGGCAAGCTCACGGTCGCCGGGCAGAGACAGATTAGGCTCAGGGATTGGGTTTTGCAGCGCCCGGTCCGGAGCGCAGGAGTCATGCGTCGTGGCAACCACAGTTCCGGCGCGAGCAAAGTCGCGGGTTCCTCGGGGTTTGGCGAGGCCGAGGATTTTGTCGTCATCCAGGAGGGCCGTGAGAGAGCCATGTGCGGATATCTTGGTCCTCTCCTGGGGGCTGATGTGGAGCGCGTCCTGCATGGGATCTCCCCAAATTGGCTAAAGGCATTGAAGAAGTAGGCCAGAGGGGCGAGTGGCGGCCCCATACTGCTGGACGCCGTGATATCGTCGTTTTTTCCCTCCAGGGGATCGAGAGGCAAGTTGGTTTGCCGCGGCACTGCACCTCTCTCGTTGTTTTCTTCGCAAGCATGGTGTGCGCGGGGGTCGTGCCATGTGCCTCAACGCCTGGATGGGTCGCGTCTGGGGCCGCGTGCGTTCCCGCCCCGCTGAGTCTTGAGCCGGGTCGAGGGCGGGGGCTTAGTTTCAGGCAGCGGCGAAGCGTCCTGGCTCGCCTATAATCCTACCAAACCATGTTCTAAGAACCGTTTGTGGTTTCCACGACATGTTATTAGAACATTTCTGGCGGATATTTGTAGGCGTCGGGCCTACACCACCCTGGAAGCGCAGTGCAACTTCTGAAGGCCGTGTCGGCGAATCGTCTCGGGGACACTTCCCTTTGTGTGTAGTTGTTGATTCCAGGTCGGTTTCTGACGGCGCCTGGGCCCGAAGCGGCCCCTTGGAGGAAAGAAGCGGCGAGACACCGAACGCGAGGCGAGCACAGACTCAGATCGGCCACGAAAGTTGTGCCCTTCTCCCAGGGCAGCGTAGGACATGCCGCTGCGTGCCAGGCAGGGCGCCCCGCAGAGACGGGGCGCCAGGGTTCGCGGCCGTCGGCCGTGCCTGCTCTGCACAGCTTGCTGCTGCTGCTGCTGCTGCTGCTCCTCTTGCTCTTCCTCCCCCTACTGTTTTTTCCCCCCCGAGGCCAACGCCATTTAGGAGGGGAACAAAAACACACAGACACACAAACATCGTCGATTGTCAGCAAAGTTTGGAAACATCTGGGTAATCATGGGGGGAAGACGAACATCCAGAGCATATGGAAAAATATGGGGGACCCTGGGATTTGTGTCTATGTATTTGCGTGTTCCTGAATCCCTTCAAACATATGTACACGTACGCGGTTAGATTCCGCTGGAGAACGTCTGAACGCGGAGACTCGTGCACGGCAAGACCGCAGAGGGCGTACACGTACACATATCTCGTTGCTTGCTCCTTCTCTTAAGCCACAGGGCAAGCTGCTCAAGCTGGCAAAATAAGAGCCTGCTTTTTTTTATTCCGGGCCGATGACGCCGTCATCTGAGAGGGGGGAGGGGCCCGATGACGTCGCCTTTCGCGCCGCTTTGGGAATGCTTAGGAATGACCAGAGACGGTGAGCAGCAGCAATAGGTGCCGATCTGCACCACAGGAGGAAGAGGAGGAAGAGGTGGAGGAGGAGGAGGAGGAGGAGGAGGAGGAGGAGGAGGAGGAGGAGGAGGAGGGGGAAGAGGAGGAGGAGGAGGAGGAGGAGGAGGAGGAGGAGGAGGAGGAGGAGGAGGGAGGAGCGAAGAATATCGCATTCTATTATCAGCACTTCCATGGCGTGGCGTTTAGCTGTCCGCAGCAGATCCTCACGCACGTGCTCCTTCTACCTGCCCTGTGCACGCAGACGCCGTGGTGCACATCAGCGCTGCGATGCACGCGGGTGCTGTGGTGTACACGGGCGCTGCGCCTGTGGTGCACACGCGCGCTGTGGTGCACGCGAGCAGCGAGCACTGCGGTGTACAGGGGCGCTGTGGCTCAGATCGCAACGTACATGCTGATCCTGCTTGGCCCCGGCCATTCCCGGGCATTCCCGGACGCCGCCGGCGCGGAACGCGACGTCGTCTGGGGGGGTGGGGGGGAGGGGGAGCCGGGGCCGATGACGGCCGTTATCCCGGAACATAAAAGAGAAGAGGCTCTGAAGGGGTGCCAGCTTGAAGTCGGGCCTGTCCCCCTACGGGGGGATTTTCGACGCAAAATGAAAATTCCCTCAAAATAGTCCAGAAATAGTCAGGGGACTATTTTTTTTTTTTTTTTTTACCTTTTTGGAGTCTTCTGGGGTATCTGTGCTTTCTCGTCGAAGATCCCCCCCTTGTAGGGGGGCACGCCCGACAGAATGCCAGCTCGGGGAGCCCCCGTGGAGCAGCGCCGTCGGCATCCTCGGATGGGGTTCCCCCCGAGGTGCGTGGGAGCTGCGCGCCGCGGGGCTCCTCGCGCTCCCGCTCGCGGCCGGGGCGTCGGGCGCGCTCCGCGGCCACACCTCCGTGCCGATCGTCGGCGCTCCGGTCGCCATCGGCGTCCTGCTCTTCCTGGCTCTCGCGTCGGTGCGATCGAGATGTCGGAGATGGGCAGACCTCCTGATTGCCCTGACGCGTCGCTTCGTGAATGGGGCGTTGTCGGTTCGCGAGGGGGCCTCGCGGCCGTCATCTTTGCGGGTCCGGGTCCGTCGGTTTCGGTCCCAGGCCGTTTTCCCTAAGGGGAGGTTTACGAAAGGGAGGTCTGTCCACCGCCGAAAATGGGTGCAGTCAACCCGCGCCGCGCAGTAAGGGTGGGCAACCTTCCCAAAGGTACTCTTGCGTCCTTGCGTCCTCGGTCTATCCTTGGTGACTTTCGTTGGCCGCGCCCCGCTCGAGAAGCTTCGGAACGGCCTTCCAAGGCCCTTACATCCTTATCGTGCATCCTTATGATACGGGTCGACTGCACGGAAAGGATGGGCACGAAAACCGACAGCAGGCCTCTTCAATTTCGGACAGGGTTCGCTGTCGGTGTCGCCGCGGACGCTGTCCCTTGAAGGCAAGCGGTCGCCTGCCCAACAGTGGCTGCTGCAAACTTTGGACAGGGCGTGCTCCTGGGCATCGTGCCCGTCGTCTCCGTGCCCAGCTCGGGCGTGCCAATCGTGGGCGAACGCACACGCACGCACGCACACACACACCCACGCACACACGCACACACCCACGCACGCACACCCACGCACACCCACGCACACACCCACACACGCACACCCACGCACGCACGCACGCACGCACGCACGCACGCACACACACAAACGCACGCACGCACGCACACACACACGCACACGCACACTCACACGCACACACACACACGCACACACACACACACGCACCGCACACGCAAACACACACGAAACGAAAAAAACAAACGCACACGCACACCACACACACGCACCCGCACACACACACACACACGCACACACCACACACGCACGCACACACACACCGCACACTCACACACGAGCACACGCACACGCACACACACGCAACGACAAAACCACACACGCCCAAACCACACACACGTACACGCACACGCACACAGACACACCCACGCACGCCACGCACGAGCCCACACGCACACACACACACACGTCACCGCACGCACGCACGCACGCACACACACACCGCAACACGCCACGCCCCGGCCACCAACCGCACAACGCACCACGCACACCACACACACGCACACCACACACACCGCACCGCACACGTACACGCACACGCACGCACACCCACACGCACACACACACACACGCACACATCACACACACACGCACACGCACACACGCACACACGCACACACGCAAACATCCACACGCACGCGCACACGCACCGCACACGGACGCGCACACGCACTCGCACACATACACGCACAGGCACACACGCACTCACGCACACACGCAGACACGCA